TCATATTGAGGGAGGTGATGAAGTGCATGTAAAACCATTTTCATTACCGTAGCCCCAGAGCTGCAAGCACTGCTGTTCATGGGTGAGGCACATGCCATTGTAGCAGTAGGCCATTCCGTATTGACAAGAGGAGCCATCCAGCAGGTAAACGTTGGCAGGGCAGTAAGGAGAAGCCCCAGTGCAGTATTCTGGAAGGTCACATGCTCCTGCTGGGCGCCGGCACATGGTACCCGCCTGCTTCAACTGACACGCATAGGGAACAGAGGGTGAGGAAGGAGGAAAGGAGCACAAGACATGGAGCATCTTTAGTTTAGTGATACTTAGCAAAATGATGCACACTGAAGCCTTCTACATATAAGGATTAAAGTGTAAATATCTGCCTACAAATACTTCAAATTTGATTTCTGATGCGTTTAACTAGAATTTTCCCAAAGCAAACAGATTTTCCCAAGCAAATGACAGCTCTACCTCCCATCACCATAGGGGTAGGTAATATACAGAAGGGTTATGAAAGCTTTTTTCTAGAAAATATCTTTGTGTGTTCATTGTTGATGTAAAAAACAAAATCCTGGAGGTGGTTTAAATCTAAAAGCACACTTACACATTACAAATAGTTATTTGAACCAATGTTTATATGAAATACTCTTTAGTCTAAATGAGAAGAAAAACTAAAAACAGTATTAAAAGAGTTTTTAAGTAAAACCATTAGGTTTAAAATGCAAACGTATAAAGGAGAACAAACAAATTGTTGTCACAATGGATGGACCAGCACATCTGATTTGGACCTGATTTTTAACCCACATCCCCTGACACAGCCCTACAATTTATCCAACCTCGGGACCTGCACTTGGAGTACACCAGATTATCTTGCAACACTAATCCTTCACTTGTAAGGCGAGTGTGTTAACCATTATACTCACAAGACAACAAATATATAGAATAATATTATTTATAACTTATTTTTATTATAAAACACCCCCACTTTCTTGCTTTTAGTGACAGCAAGGGTTGTCTCTTACTTTGCACCCCTCGCAGCACATTCCATGGGCACACTGGACCGCCTCCTTCAAGGTACAGTTATTGGGATTGCAGCAGTCGTTTTCACATTCCTGTTGACAATCATACAATAACACACAATATCAAGGTTTAAACACTGAAGCGTACATAACGAAAAACAATAATAATAAAATAATAACCTCTGCTTTAACTTTAATGATTCAAATAAAACGGACTTCATAAATGATTTGAAGGTTATGTTTAATCACCTTTTTTACAGAGTAAGCTCAGTTATGTAAAAAGAACTATATTTAACCAATAAGCAAAAGCATACACACACACACACACACACACACACACACACACACACACACTTCTATCTGTCTGAGCTGCTGCCTTGTCCTGCCTCGTTCTCTCAGGTCAGCAGACCAAATGCTTTTCCTTGTTCTAAAGACATAATGGATACTCGAGGGGACAGGCCTTCGCAGTTGCGGCTCCAAAATTGTTGAGCAATGTGTGACTGCAATGTGTATGACAAAAGAATTTCCCTCGGGATAAATTAAGTTCTTCTTATCTTATCTGCACATAAGGAAGGCTTAAAAACGCACTTTTAATCCACTCACCGAAATCAGGACTCGTGTCTTGATTTCCACTTTGACATTCAGATGACGGGATCAATATTTGGTGTAAATAACATGAACTAGCTGCATTAGTACTAGCATAGTGGTGAATAAGTATAGAAGTGTGTGTGAAGTCTCCTTATTCTCTTTCAAGACTGTCAGTGGACCACTGCTTTTGGCACCAGTAGAAAACAACAGTGATTGCAGTACATCCATACTCCCTAACAAAGGCTTGTATGCTGAATCACAATGGGCACAAGCACTATTTCTATGCAGAAGTGCTTTCTATCTAACATTACTCCTTACTCCAATGGATGCATCGGAAACAGACTTGGGGTTAACCTCATGCCCAAGGCATGCCAACTTTAGGGTTAGGGACAACCTAACCCACCAACCTTCTGGTTAGTAGATGATCTGCTCTACCTCCTGAGGTACAGCCACCGCAGTGGGCGTCGTATCACAGTCTCAAAAAAGTGCTGTTTAATTTTTTTAAACAATACAGTAAATAAATGCATCTGAAATGCAGTGATGTGAAGTCATTACTTTCATAATAAGAATACTCTGGCTTTTCTCTTCTATTTAAACCTACATTCGACAAAGATGAGAACTCTGCACAGTGGTATGACAATTAAAAATCAGAGTATCTATAACAACATAGCATAGCATTTCATCTGTTTTTAAAAGCTGAAAAAACTACAGAATGGACATGATGATGAGATGGTTTTGTCAAAAGTTGGATATTTTCTCTTCAGCTAAGTTTTGTGTGAAAATCAGCTGACAATTGTCTGCAAAATAATTTAATAATAGGACAAGTAAATCATAACCAAGGTTTAAAGCTGTTACAAAAAGTAAATGAGCATCAAAAAAGTTTTTTAACTTACGAGAACTAAACATAATGCATTACTTTATTGCAGGGGTCAGGCCTGTGTCCTGCAGGTTTTAGATGCGTCCTTGGTCCAACACAGCTGATTCAAATGGCTAAATGACCTCCACAACATGTCATGAAGTTCTCCAGAGGCCTGGTAATGAACAAATCATTCGATGCAGGTGTATTGACCCAGGGTGATATATCTGCAACCTACAGGACACCAGCCCTTGAGGCCTGGAGTTTCCCACCTCTGCTTTATTGCTTTAATGCCCCTTTTATCTGGTAGGGAAAGTTAATATAAGTTCAAATTGAATACTTGTCCTCACATCTGGTTCTCCACAATCACACTCTTCTCCGTCCTCCACAAAGCCGTTGCCACACTTCTTGCCCCCCACCAGATTGTTCATGTTGGGAATGTTATATAAGCACATGCCCCCTCCCTTCTGGAAATAGCGGTCCAAATCGCGTTTGCTGCAGTAACTGAAGACTCGAGGGAATGGGTGCCTGGACAGGGACATTATCATATTATTAACATTGAACAGAAAGTAAAAAAATATCAATGTTATGCATGCATTTGAACATTTTACAATTATTCAATCTGTAAGTATTTTGACTGATATACTATTTAAGTCATTAGCAATTAGCAGAGGGAGAGAGAGAGAGCATGTGAGAGACAGAGGTCACAAGTTCTGAATGAGCTGTGTGTTACTGCTTTGTATAACTTGAACTATTTTTTTTTTCAAAGATAAAAAAAACAAAGGTGAAGCTGTGAATGATGAAGTATTTTAATATATTTTGCAGTTAGGCTTAAACATGGCTCTTTACCATCCCTGCTCCCATCACAGAAACCATTAATATTGAATGTACGACAACCACAGTAATCTTGGACATGGGTGTAAGAAAAAAAGAAGGAAAAAGCGTGCGTGGGCAAAACACCTTCCAAGTACTATTCAGCTACCTCCCTCTTCTCAACATAGATGCTCATCTAGAGGCTAAATCCATGGTCATCATAATCATCAAGGTGATATATAAAGAAGATGCACTGACTCTAGAACAGTTCTGCACTTATCTTAATCCCGTGGCCTTCTCAGCTATTGCCTAGACTTTTAAGCCACTTCCTTTGTAAACTAGTCACGTGTATAAGCTGACAGACCAGGGATCTCAAACTCAGAGGAGCTGGGGGCCACTGCTGGCACTGTCATCTCATCAGAGGGAAAGTCCACAAATATTTCCAAAAATTTAGTGTTTTTGTTTATTTTAAATATGACAAAAAAACCTATGACTGAACGTTATTGGAAAACACAAACAGTGTATAGACGAGTCTTAACAGTTTACTTACAACTGGGCTCGTCAGGCGCTCTACACTTGCAGTGGTTATTATTATATTTACATGCTTTCATCTTCTGTTTCTCGCCAGTAGCAACTTGTACTTTTCAACTCTCCTTTTCCTCCGTGCCTCGCACACACACACACACACACACACACACACACACACACACACACACACACACACACACACACACACACACAAAGGGAGGGGCAGTCCCACACATTCTCGCTGCAGCACGGACTACACTGTCCATACACTGTCACAAAGGGCTATGCCTGTAACGCTGCTCATATTGCCTTCATGTTAAATCTTTTTTTTTGAATAATATATTTATATATATATTTCTTCACCTCAATATGCGGGCTGCAAGTAGGGGTGACGTGGGCTGCAAATGGTCCCCGGGCCGTGGGTTTGAGACCCCTGTCTTAGACAGTGCTGGAGGAAAGCAATCCTTAGGTTTCAGTTTAGCTCCACTATAGCCACTGCTACTTATTGTAAACCGTGAAAAGCTTACATGATATTTTGATTCTACGCTTTCTGTCTGATATTGTATTGTATTATGTCAGTATGTTATATTGTAATTTTTATTGAACCAAGTTGTTTATCATGTTTATCAAGGAACAAAGTCTTTCACACAAATACTTGTTTTCCTTCATTCAGATTTGTAGTACCTATTTACAGGACAACACAAGAAAAACAAATTCAAAGGCAAAATATAAAAATCTAACAAAAAATTATCAAGGGAATAGTTTGTTAAACAGCCATGCTAGTATTTCAGCAGCTAGAACTGTTTTTCATGTGTCAAGTAATGTAATGTGTCAGTGTGTTATGGCTGCTTCGTTCTATCAAACATTTCTTCCTGTTAAAAGGTTTTTTCCTTTCGTTGTTGCCACGTCCTTGTCATGTTTACTATATTATTGTAGGGTCTTTATAAGGAAGCTTGAGGGAATTGCTGTTGTGGTGCTATATAAATAAAATTGACTTGAGTTGAAATCAAGGTGTTAGTAACAACATCTGAGGGTGACTAGGATGTTTCTTTAGTCCTGTGCAGAGCTCAGGCTAACCCGGTGGCAGCGGCCATCACACAGCCTCCTTGATCGGCAGTGGCCTCCACACAGCAGCTGTCATGGTCATGGCTCATCCCAAAGTTGTGGCCAATCTCGTGGGCCATGGTGGCTGCAGCACCAATGGACAGCTCTGAGTGGTCCTGTAGAGGAATAACAAAAGGAGCTGTCACTTATGTGATGCAGTCTATCAACAATATGTTCAAACTAATTTAATATGGGTGTGTCAAAGTAAGCTGACTTCATGGTTGGGCCAGGTTATTATGGTTATTGTTA